ACATCAAATAAACAACATAAACAAGTAAATAGTATTATTATATATATTACAGATAGGTTTTTATATTAACACGTTCAATAAACTTCTAACGTTAACCACCTGTACCGTAAACATCAAATAAACAACATAAACAAGTAAATAGTATTATTATATATATTACAGATAGGTTTTTATATTAACACGTTCAATAAACTTCTAACGTTAACCACCTGTACCGTAAACATCAAATAAACAACATAAACAAGTAAATAGTATTATTATATATATTACAGATAGGTTTTTATATTAACACGTTCAATAAACTTCTAACGTTAACCACCTGTACAGTAAACATCAAATAAACAACATAAACAAGTAAATAGTATTATTATATATATTACAGATAGGTTTTTATATTAACACGTTCAATAAACTTCTAACGTTAACCACTTGTACAGTAAACATCAAATAAACAACATAAACAAGTAAATAGTATTCTTATATATATTACAGATAGGTTTTTATATTAACACGTTCAATAAACTTCTAACGTTAACCACCTGTACAGTAAACATCAAATAAACAACATAAACAAGTAAATAGTATTATTATATATATTACAGATAGGTTTTTATATTAACATGTTCAATAAACTTCTAACGTTAACCACCTGTACAGTAAACATCAAATAAACAACATAAACAAGTAAATAGTATTATTATATATATTACAGATAGGTTTTTATATTAACACGTTCAATAAACTTCTAACGTTAACCACCTGTACCGTAAACATCAAATAAACAACATAAACAAGTAAATAGTATTATTATATATATTACAGATAGGTTTTTATCTTAACACATTCAATAAACTTCTAACGTTAACCACCTGTACAGTAAACATCAAATAAACAACATAAACAAGTAAATAGTATTATTATATATATTACAGATAGGTTTTTATATTAACACGTTCAATAAACTTCTAACGTTAACCACCTGTACAGTAAACATCAAATAAACAACATAAACAAGTAAATAGTATTATTATATATATTACAGATAGGTTTTTATATTAACACGTTCAATAAACTTCTAACGTTAACCACCTGTACAGTAAACATCAAATAAACAACATAAACAAGTAAATAGTATTATTATATATATTACAGATAGGTTTTTATATTAACACGTTCAATAAACTTCTAACGTTAACCACCTGTACCGTAAACATCAAATAAACAACATAAACAAGTAAATAGTATTATTATATATATTACAGATAGGTTTTTATATTAACACGTTCAATAAACTTCTAACGTTAACCACCTGTACAGTAAACATTCGGTATGAAGCATTTACCACATTTACCTTCATATATTTACATTTACCATCACTCCCTTCAATAAACCAGTTAGCCAAACCGGTGTTTATTTTCCAATAACTGTAGTTTGTCACGTGACAAATAAGGCGTATGAATACATCGAAAACGAAAACAAGGATTGACCCAAGTTTTTTTTACCTAGAGTCTAATCTAATTTTACAATTTATTTAATTTACAATTATTGTTAATATTTCAATGGAATAATAAATATTTGATAATTCTATCATCCAAATAAGACTGTCGCTTTATAGAACTATATTGTTAGAGGCGGGTCGGTGAACTTGATTGACAGATATCGATGAATTAAGCAACAACGGTTTCGGGTATTTTTACAATTAAAGAGTAGAACAATTGGCATATTTTATCAGAAAAGATAAACCAATGTAAATATAAGGATCTTGTTATCGTTATGGGGAAATAAACGCTGGTTTATAATGTGACAAGACGTACATGACCCGCTGGTTCTAGATTCAATATGGCTGATGCGTGAATAAGGTCTATTAGCTAATTTTTGAAGTAAAATAAGATCCACCAATCACAGTACTTTCAGTTATCAGTTTATCAGTTAAAATCTTCACTTACGTCAAAAACAGATCGTGAGCCTGATTTCTGGGCAGAGAGAGAGGTGTGTCGACTTCTGTAACGTCGTCTACGATTGGCCAATCCTTCTCGTACTTTACGATTAATAACACAATGGAAAATAAATATAAACAACCCCTGAAATAAACAACATTGTTTTTATATTACTAGGGATATCATGTCTGTATTTAGATTGAAAATAGGCTTCAAGATCAATGGTGGCTGCAGATGATTGGATTTAGAGTGGACAGTACCAAATTGTTTTTTGGGGAAAATAAAAACATACAAACTCAAGGGTGAGATACACCTTGGAAATGTTTTTATTTGACCTTTGACCTTAATTAATCTTACCTGTAAGGAGTTAAAAATACTAAAAATATAATCAAATATCACCAAATCTTCATTAATAGATAAAATACCGAACACCCAGGATACACCCATCACTGGTAATAATACACAAATACTTCTTAAAGCAGCCCTGAAATAAAATCAAACCTTATAGAGCTCAATTCTCAGCTATCCAACAGCTTGGTTCCAGCTCATTTTCAGCAATCTCAGAGCTCAATTTTAGCTATCCTTGAAACTATTTCAATTTCAGCTTTTCTTGGAACTTTTCTTAAGCTCAATTTCACCTGTTCCAATTGTAAAACGTGATCTAGAAGTTGAGAAGAAATGAATCTAGACCAACCCATTAACAAAATAACAAATAAAAGATGAAACATACTTGGCTTTGATTCTGGTATCTTTGTTGATCATGACTCTAGTGTTCAACAGAGCATAGGTTATCTTTATTACAATAATTACATTTACCTGTTAAATATAGAATACTCGTTAACAGATGATTTACCTGTTAAATATAGAATACTCATTAACAGATGATTTACCTGTTAAATATAGAATACTCGTTAACAGATGATTTACCTGTTAAATATAGAATACTCGTTAACAGATGATTTACCATAGAGGAGTCTTTAATCATAAATAAAATATCTATAACTTACAAATATTACAAACAGAGCTGGACCTAAAAACGCCCAAATCAATCCACCATCTATCGACAACCAACAACTACAAACATAATACAATAAACTATCTTTACCTTGCCTACAAGCTTATCAAATAACATTATCGGTCTCCATTTATAAACAATGATGACGTCATAGTGTAGTATTTCCAGAGATATATTTTAGATGTTTTGAGGGTAGGGTTAAGTGCTCGGATATCTATTTACAATTATACAGTAGCTTAGAGAGCAGTAATTCTCTATTCCAGTTATAATATACCATCAGATTTTTCAACCTGGTTTCCTCCAATGAGCCTAATTCAAGGAAGAGGGGATGACCTTGGAAAACCATCTAGTCATTAGTAGTTATAGTAATAATTTGATTTATAACGCAAACTCTTCATCAGAGCTCAATTACACTTTACTAATATATGTGTCAGTCAATCAAATAGAACAAACAACTGAGGCCCTGTGGCAGACTGTGCCAGTTTGAAATTAATAAAAGAGTAAGAAATACTTACAATTTAGAATTACCATAGCCCTCTAGTTCTGTCACCCCAGTTGATATAGCTACTATTATTAATGGAATACCTGAAATTCACAACAATAACAAATTATCTTTCAAAGATTGCAGGATTTTATGATTTAAGACTGGATTTCTTTCAAAAACTCTCCGTATTCAAGCAAATTGACAATAAATTTGTATTTTTATAGCCATTGACAATAAATTTGCTTCTAAATATAGTAATAAAGTTCACACACTTCTAGGCACTTCAATAAACTATAGATTGGTATTGGAATGGAGATCACTTTACAACAGATTACAGAGTGGGTTTTTTTGACCGCCATGCAGTGGTCTTTTATTTAAGAAAGATACAATCATGTTGGCATCAATTCCGATTGAAGAATAAATATAGGAATGAAATAATGCTTACCCCACCCCATTATAACGATCTCTCGTAATTTTGATCTACTGGAGAAAACTTTAACAATCGTGACGAGAACCTCGATTCCCTCCCCTAACATGAGGAAAAATACCACCAGATAAAAATAGTGCAGACACACTGCCATTGCTGTACAGACGGCCTGGAAAAAACAAGATAAAAAAACAGGGATTGTAAAAAAGTTTTCTAAACTTATTGTGTATCGGGACACAATCACAATCTCAATCCTGTAATTCCACTAAAACTAAGTGTTTGATGGCGTCACTAATGGTAAAAGATGGTTAGGATAACTGTGACATCCCGAAAAGCTGTCTATAATTAAAGTTATATATATCAATGTAATTTCTATAGATCTTAAGGTGCTCTCTCAAAATAGTGATTACCAGTTATGTATTGTTGTGAATAACAATAGCGGTTATAAATTTCAAACATTACTCCTATAACTGAGAAGTTATTTATATACTTATAATCAAACTTACTGAGTTCTCTGTTTTATCAACCCCGAATAGAAACAAGACCAGGGCAATGATGAGAGCAACACAAAGATGGAGGAGTAAAACAGCTCTATCAGACCTCACATACCTGTCAATTTAAAAACAGAGTTACACAAATTTTCTTTATTAATATAAAAGTTTCGTTCCTCTCCCCAGCTGTAAATGGGTACAGATAATCCGGGAAAGATCAAAGCCAAAAGGTTTGACCAAGGACCAGCTGGTAGACAGGATCCTCGTGAACCTAAGTTGTTATCCTTGTAAAATCATTATCAAGAGGTTTTACCAAGGACCAGCTCGTAGACAGGATCCTTGCAGAATCTAATCTAACTAATAATAATAATACATAAACTGACCTCCATACGAAAGCGTAGACCGAAACAGTGACCAATAAACAAAAGATAGAAATGGTAGCTCCTATTAAAGTTATAGTTGATAATATTTCTTCATCCTACATTAAATATAATATATAATATAATAAATAAAAACTAAAAATATCAAATAACCAGAAAATTGAAATCTTACCATTATAACCTGTTTATAATCATATAAAAATTTATATTTTGACCGACAAAATGTTAACCATCTTACTATTCTCAGTAAATCAGTGGACATCTTATGGAAGGCAGAATGGCTTTTTATTCAATGTTCTTTATTGTTATTTCTTAATTCTAAATTCTTATCTCTTAATTTGTACGCTTAATTTAAGATTTCTTATTGAAAATTGACACTTCGATAAACAGTCTGTTTTCCAATTATTGAATTTATAGCAATGGGATAACACCATTGATCTTACCTTGAGTGAAACTTGAGTTGGTTTCATCAGAAGGGCGAAGTTAGTAAGATGGTTACAGGAACAGGTGGTTGAAGTCTGATTGGTGGACAGCAGACGACAACCTGTATTATCCCACCCTCTGAAAAATATCAAATAAAATCAGTAAATAACCGTGTTAACATTGACTTTAACTGGTTCCCAAACAACAAGAGTCTCGATCATATAGTCGCACATTATTGACAACACATGATGTACAAGACTACAGTTTATTAGTTACCAGTACTCCCCCAATTGCCAAAATATATAAAGCTGGCTTTTAGGTTTCCATTGAGTATATGAAGTGAAAGATTGCTTTAAGCTAGCTTTCATTAGGCCCTTGATAAATTGGTGAATTCAAAAAGAGAGGTTGTGGTTCCCGAACCATAACACTTCATTAATTTGCTCAGTGGAAACACACGAAGGCTGGCTTAAAACCGGCTATTTCTCTCGGTGGAAACACAGTTAAAGTCAAGCATAATATTTCTGCTCATCAGATTCAAAACAATCACAACTAGTTCATTTTATTTGTAGGTAGATTAAGTATATAGTCTATACAGTATTATGAGTATTATTGATGTCTTTGCTAAACAATATTATAAACAATCTGAGTTTAATGGTAGAGGTCAAAATAGTTGTCAAATAAAATAAGAAATTCATAAATTCCACAAAATTACTCAAGAATCCAACTATTCCAATTTATAGAATTTATTCCATCCTAGATAGGGTAGAATCCAAACCTATCTTTCCCAAAATCTAATAAAATCAGAACTTACGAGTTATCAACATTCCAAAAAGAACAGGCTGCAGAGTTTAATGAGGACTGAAATGAAGAGTAAAATTTATTACATTCAGGTATTCCAATGAAAGATAGCTCAAACCAGTAGCTCTAACAGGTAAAATAAGTAGCTCAAACCAGTAGCTCTAACAGGTAAAATAAGTAGCTCAAACCATTAGCTCTAACAGGTAAAATAAGTAACTCAAACCAGTAGCTCTAACAGGTAAAATAAGAAGCTCAAACTAATAGCTCTAACAGGTAAAATAAGTAGCTCAAACCAGTAGATCTAACAGGTAAAATAAGTAGCTCAAACCAGTAGCTCTAACAGGTAAAATAAGTAGCTCAAACTAGTAGCTCTAACACGTAAAATAAGTAGCTCAAACCAGTAGCTCTAACAGGTAAAATAAGTAGCTCAAACCAGTAGATCTAACAGGTAAAATAAGTAGCTCAAACCAGTAGCTCGAACAGGTAAAATAAGTAGCTCAAACCAGTAGCTCTAACAGGTAAAATAAGTAGCTCAAACCAGTAGCTCTAACAGGTAAAATAAGTAGCAGTAGCTCTAACAGGTAAAATAAGTAGCTCAAACCAGTAGATCTAACAGGTAAAATAAGTAGCTCAAACCAGTAGCTCTAACAGGTAAAATAAGTAGCTCAAACTAGTAGCTCTAACAGGTAAAATAAGTAGCTCAAACCAGTAGCTCTAACAGGTAAAATAAGTAGCTCAAACCAGTAGCTCTAACAGGTAAAATAAGTAGCTCAAACCAGTAGCTCTAACAGGTAAAATAAGTAGCTCAAACCAGTAGCTCTAACAGGTAAAATAAGTAGCTCAAACCAGTAGCTCTAACAGGTAAAATAAGTAGCTCAAACCAGAAGCTCTAACAGGTAAAATAAGTAGCTCAAACCGGTAGCTCTAACAGGTAAAATAAGTAGCTCAAACCGGTAGCTCTAACAGGTAAAATAAGTAGCTCAAACCAGTAGCTCTAACAGGTAAAATAAGTAGCTCAAACCAGAAGCTCTAACAGGTAAAATAAGTAGCTCAAACCAGTAGCTCTAACAGGTAAAATAAGTAGCTCAAACCAGTAGCTCTAACAGGTAAAATAAGTAGCTCAAACCAGTAGCTCTAACAGGTAAAATAAGTAGCTCAAACCAGTAGCTCTAACAGGTAAAATAAGTAGCGCAAACCAGTAGCTCTAACAGGTAAAATAAGTAGCTCAAACCGGTAGCTCTAACAGGTAAAATAAGTAGCTCAAACCGGTAGCTCTAACAGGTAAAATAAGTAGCTCAAACCAGTAGCTCTAACAGGTAAAATAAGTAGCTCAAACCAGTGGCCCTAACAGGTAAAATAAGTAGCTCAAACCAGTAGCTCTAACAGATAAAATAAGTAGCTCAAATTTCACTGTCACTGTCTAATTCACTGTCTATAATACCCCTCCCCAATACCTACAACCCAACCCCTATAAATCATTCCATCCCTACCCCATAAGCCCCACCCTCCTATTACTCTCTCGACCATCCCTACCAATATGCCCTACCCCCAACCTATCACTCCATCCCTACCCCCATCCCCCATACCTACAACCCAACCCCTATAAATCACTCCATCCCTACCAATAAGCCCCACCCTCCTATCACTCCATCCCTACCCCCATTCCTACAACCCAACCCCTCAATAAAACCCTCCTATACTCACATTGAGATGAGAAAATGAAAAAACAACTTCTGCTGGTAGTTTATTAGGATTGAAATTTTCACCATAAACATTGATAGATACGACGTCTGAATTAATTTGAAATTTTGCAGAAGCGGAGGAGGTGTCTGATAATTTCCTAAAAAACAAGAAAATATCATTAAAGACATTGTAAAGAGGTTTTACTAATTTTTTTAAGTGTATCAGGGACACCGATATCATCAATTTACACCATTCTAAATTTCAATCAGATGTCTGTGGTTCTTGCAATGATGTCACTACTTCAAAAGCTGATATATAAGGCCATTTGAGATAGTGAATGCCTAGTATTTTGTTTTACAAAACCTCTTTAAAGGAGATTTTTTTGGAGAGTGAAAGGTATTCACAGGTTTTCTTTCTATTATATGATGAAATGGTTTAATGATTAAAGATTAAAGATTAAAGATTAAAGATTAAAGATTAAAAACTTACTGAGTGGTATCAGAAGGTAAACTTGTTAAGTTATCATAATCTATTATAGAATACGTCTTCGCTTCAAAATCTGAAATAAATATTGCCGTCATTTATAAATCTAAAAAATATATCAGTCTTTTTATGGAAAATTTCGTGAAAACACAGAAAATGATAGTATGGCTGAAAAACAAAAATATCCATATTTCCAAATATATCTGGGTTTGGCAGATAAGGTAACAAATAGGAAAGGGAAGATGGAAAATCCCCATAAAATAGGGCCTAGTTTTTCTGACCATACTCCAGCTGACAACTTTCACAATAAGGAAGATGCAGAAAATCCCATTAAAATAGGGCCTGGTTTTTCTAAACCTACTCCAGCTGACAACTTTCACAACAGGAAAGATGCAGAAAATCCCCATAAAATAGGGCCTGGTTTTTCTGACCATACTCCAGCTGACAACTTTCACAATAACTATCAGAGGCTGGAATAGAGCAGAAAACTTCGGACTGGAGGAAACTGGATTGAAAAATTTGAACCTACCAGTGTCTGAAGTAAAAATATCTGACGGAAGATCAACAGATAAAGATGATGTCTGGTTTGTCTGGTCACTAGGATAACTCACATTCACTATATTAAACGGATCAACTTTTCCCACTGTTAGAACTAGAAACGGCAACAAAATAAAGATTTGCATTATTTGATGTTTTGTGCAATGACAAAAACGATCTGGGCTCGTTTCTCAAAAATTCCTACGACTAAACTTGCATGTTAAGTGCAGAAAAATGTTAATTTTGACGTTATCAAATCGTTAATTAATAACGTTTACGCTTCTACGTTGATCCATGATAATTTGAGAAACGGGGGTCTGGAGTGCTTGAAATAAAATAAAGCTTTACATCCTTCTTTC